GAGTGTGTGTGTGTATGTGTATATGTGTTTGTGTATGTATATGTATGTATGTGTGTGTATATCTATATCTATCTATCTATCTATCTATCTATCTATCTATCTATCTATCTATCTATCTATCTCTCTCTCTCTCTCTCTCTCTCTCTCTCTCTCTCTCTATATATATATATATATATATATATATATATATATATATATACACACACACATATATATATGAATGATAGAGATAGATGATAGACAGATAGATATTCTTGCCTCAGAAATCAGCTTCTAGAGTTGATATTCAGTGCTCTTGACTGAAAATATGCAGCATAATCCTTAGCAGTTTTGCTTTGGTACAAGCTCCTCTCATTTCAGTGATTTCCAAATATGTGCATTTGTGGTTGATGCTTTAATGTTTTCATGCCTAATGTTCATATTTTTACTCAAGTAAGTTACATAGAACCTCATCTTCATTTGGCAACAATGTGTGTGCAATACAGACGTTTTCAACAGTTAATACCTTTTCAACCAGAAAAGAATGCTCCTGAAATATATCACAATCCTCTCTGATTAACACATTACAAACCTTTGTGTCTCCAGTGGCATTTTTATAACTCTTAAAAAAAATGTTGACAAGATTCCCTTCCCAACAGTTTCTAGAGAATGACCAGGAAGTGGAAAGGAGAGAAAAGGGAGCCAAGAAGACAGGTCAGCCTAGATACATGCACATGCTTTCAAAGCTTATTAATAACATGTTCAAACACAAATCAACATCTTTAGCTCTCTACTTCTTTGGAAAATGAAACAGAATACAAGACTTGCTTTTGCTAAAGATGAGATCTTCTGTTTTCAGATGCTTCTGAAGAAGAAGCAGACAAGGTAAGCAATTAAGACAATAATTAGAGAATTCTACGTGGCAGCCATCACAAATACACACATGAACAGCTTTAGATAAAGAAGGAGACCCAAATAAAACCTGTAAGGGTGGTGTCAGAACAGAAGGAAAGGAACAAAAAAGAAGGTATTTTTTCACTTTGCATGCTTTGGTGAGGCTGGCATTCATGCAGATCTAACATTGGAGAGAACAGATTTAATAAAAAACTTATATCAGTCCATATCTACCCATGTTATTTGCTTGGTATGTAAGAACACTTCTCCCATATCTGTTTCTAATCATATGAGATGGAATAAAACTACATAAAGACATTCCTTCTTAAGAACCCAAACATGGACAATTTCAAAAGGCAGATTTACTGTGTACAGGTAGAAGCAATGTTCAGTTTGATTTAAAATATCTCCTAAAGTTTTCTCTCTTGTTGCGGGTGCATTTCAGTTTGTTTATATCTGTCTGTCTGTCTGTCTGTCTGTCTAATTTGTAGTCTTGCATTCTGTCCAATTTGACTGTAATTGAGGAAGATATTTTGATCTTACAAACTAGACAAATGTAATGGTGGTGAAGCAAGAGTGATGGAATTGATATTTTATTGTAAAAATCTAGCAATTTTCTGCACCAAAAAGTGAATAGGAAGCTGAGAAGGAGGCAGATAAATTACAGAACAGAAGTAATATCTTGCAGTTTATGGACAAAAAGGCATAACATTATGGTGCATTCCAAAATACAGATTTATGGGGCATTTCTATTAAACTTTGTCACAAGAACTTTAATCTGTGATAAATAACATAGGCTCTAAAGATTAGAGAAAAATGAATGGACTGAAAACCTTATTACTCATTCCCAGGCAGATTAGAAGTTTGCTATTATAAGACTTCCAGAAAAAAGATGGCATGTATGCCACTGTGTTCCATCTCTTGACACAGGAGATACCCTCACAGCTATTTCTTAGTGTTGAGGAAACTATTGGTACTTTAAATGCAACAGCAATAAAGAGTAATTAGAAAGAAAGTTAAAACAGGGGAAAGGATATGATGAACAATTTTCTTTCTTTTTCCACCATGGAAAATTGATAGCATTTACTTTGTCATTTAAGACACTTTAGGCATAGATAGTAATAGCACTTAGACTTATGTACCATGCCATAGTGCTTTACAGCACTCTCAGAGTGGTTTACAGAGTCAGCGTATTGCCTCCAATAATCTGGGTCCTCATTTTACCAACCTTGGAAGAATGGAAGGCTAAGTCATCCTTGAGCTGGTCAGGATCAAACTCCTGGCTGTGAGCAGAACCTGCAATACTGTACTCTAACCACTGCACCATCATGGCTAAATGATATATAGAAGGCCTGATATGACTTCCACAATGCCTCCATATATTTGTGCTTTTGTGAAAGCAATTGAAATGCAAACATCTAGCTGTGTGGGAAGAGCTGCACCTACATCTATGTGTTTGGGATTCCCTGGACCTGAGAGCATGGCAGCATGCATTCATTGTGTCTTAGCAATTCAGGTGCCCATATCCAAGATATCAATAGCAATAGCACTTAGATTGTATATTACTTTACAGTGCTTTACAGCCCTCTCTAAGTGGTTTACAGAGTTAGCCTATTGCCCCCAACAATCTGGGTCCTCATTTTACCCACCTCGGAAGGATGGAAGGCTGAGTCAACCTTGAGCCTGGTGAGATTCGAACTGCCAAATTACAGGCAGCAGAAGTAGCCTGCAGTACTGCATTCTAACCACTGCGCCACTATGGCTCAGTGATCCCAAACAAGTATGTTATGTTGGGATTGGCACTGGTAATGTGCCATATTGCATTTTAATAAGCTGAAACAAAAATAAGATTCAGATTTGATATAGACTGTTGCATTACTATTATGTCCTAGAAATCCTCCAAGTTCCCTTTCAACCCTATGATTCTTTGCCTAGTTTTATCTCACATCTTAGCACTACTCAATTAGATCTACCCATCTTCTAGCTACAGTAGTAATAAATCCGGGTATATTACATTAATTATTATAACATATATTCTGATATAAAGATCGATAGAAACCAAACAGCTACTAGAATGCCTTTACTCAGTGCAAGGCTCTCCAAACTTGGCAACTTTCTGGGAGTTGAAGTCCACAAGTCTTAAATTTGCCAAGTTTGGAGACCTCTGACTTAGAGGAACTAGTAAGAGACTAAGTAGGACACTAAGCAGTCAGCTAATAAAAAGGAGTTCTCTCAGATTATTCAGAATATTTTGTTTAAAATCAACAGGTAAGCATTGGTGAGGCCTGAACCATGCAGACTGGGATTGTTGCAAATAGGGTTATCCATGCTTTACATTAGAGGAAGAAACGCTAACCTAGAATTCTTTTTTTGACCGAGAGTGAATCGGATGATTTTGCTTTGAGATGAGTCCCTGGGTGATGCACTGTACAACAAGAAAAGGAAAAAAATTGGAAGATGCAAGTGAGTAAAGAAGAAATATTAATATAGAAAGCCTCTGAGCTAAAAGATATGGAAAAATAATTCACCCAGATGTTTTCAAAGGAGAAAATAATGTTGCTCATCCCCGTCAAATGTCTAGACATGATACCTACTTAAAAAAAAAAAACCCTTCTATGTATTAAATCAATAATAGTAAAGAGTTTGAGCCTCCACATTTACATCACAATCAATTTTTTTTTTTTGCAAAATGTCACAAGTGAATTTACATTGTAAAAATAAATGGTAAAACCCCCATGGGATGATATGACGAGGCATGCCCCATATAATTGAGTACATTTTAGTGCTGATCACATAATTATTTTTTTAATTATTGTAATAAATACCAAATTTCACCACATGAGGGTGCCTATCAAAGAAAGCTTCATGAAAACTAATTGAGGAAAACCTCATCATGTAAAAAGTAAAATAAAGCAATGGTAAAATTCAATGTGCATGATCCTCATATTCTCTCTCTCTCCCTCCCTCTCCCTTCCCCCCTCTCTCTCATACTTCAGGTTCATTTTGTTATTGACAAAGATAGGTACTGTGCTATGCTATGCTGAAAATAATGCTAACTATATTTCTTTCAGGCAAATAAGCTTTTTTCTTATATGAAAAGATACTTTGAATGTTCCAGAGAGAAGTACATTTAAAAAGACCGGCCCCAGCCATCTTATTACAAGTATCAGGATCCTGTTCTTGTTGTATGTGTTCTATATGTCTTCATCTCCAGTAAAACTAAATAGTTGTTTATGTGGCAAGGGCTTTCAATGAGGAATCAGCATGGGGCTAGCATTCTTCCTTCTATCCTGGCAACTGCTTTAAAGCATGAAACACAACATTGGGAAATCCAATCATCTCCAGGCACTGGAAGATCCAATTACCTGACTGTAATGACAGTAGAATAAAGCATACACAGTTGTGTAAAGAATTAAAGAAGGAATTCTCTTGTCAGTAGCCACAACCATATTGGACTTTGCATACATTCATTCCAGCCCAATTAAGGAATACATATTTCTGGAAAGCAATGTCTGCACCTAGTCCCATGACTGGAATCCCAAGCATATGTGGCTTTTATGCATAAAGGTCCTTCCCCTATAATCCAATTGCCAAGACTGCACAAATGGAGTCCAGTTGCAAAACAATAATTGCATGATCAGCTGTTCAAAAGGCGGGCCTGAAATGCAGTTCTCTCCACCTCTGCTTAATTGTTAAAAAGCTGAGCAATGTGACCTAGTATATATTCTTTTGCTCCATCTCCTTACAAAATTTATCTGATTTTCAAATCGACTGCCAGGATCAGAAACGCAGGTATTATTTACAGTGTCCATGAGCATAGCGGCACTGAATGTTCCTTCAGAATTAATCCACAGAATTAGATTCTTATTTTTAAAATAGAACATTCCACAACTTGGAAAAAAAATTAAACGAGCAAAATTAAAATGATGACAATGGCCAAAGACTTACAAGACTGCCCTAGATCATGGAATTTTGAGTAACACCTCATAAATCTCATATAATAAGAAAGAATACTTGTGCAATCTCATGCTGAGATTTTTCATCACCCTTTTAAAATTTCTATAGTCTGGAAAGGCATATTAGCAATTACAGGTGATCCTCATTCAACAGCCACTCATTTGACTAATATTCAAACTTGTCACAATGTTGAACAAGTGCTATTTATGTCTGGGCCAGGGTGAAATTCAAATTTTTTTCCAGCTGGCTCTATGGGTGTGGCTGTGGGCATGGCTTGGTATAATAATAATAATAGCAACCAGGGGTGATTTTTTTATCAATTCAAATATCCCTACCACCTCTCCCGAGGTGGGCCAAGGTGGTCGAATTTCACCCAGGTCTGGGCCTTGAAATTCTGACCACTGCAGTATCTCCACAGTCACGATAGCAGTCCACGCCCTTCATAGCTGGCTTTGTTTTCCAACTGACATATCATAACATGGTCACATGATAATGATTTGTGATCTTCCATGCTAATTTCCCAAAGGGGAAGCTGGCAGGAAATTGGACATTACAGTCATGTGAGGCTTGTTTAAGAATACACACGGTCCTCACTTAATGATAGTAACTAGAACTGCTGTTGCTAAGCGATGCAGTCATGTGACATTCTGCTTTACAACTGCATCATTTAGCAATGGAAGGTCTGATCCCAATGACTGTTGTTAAGTGAAGACTACCTACATGTGATCTCATAAGACAATGGCCAGAGCTTTAAAAAAAAGGCTGATCCCTGTCCTTCTTAAAACATGCATCTGCTCTAGTACAAATATATTGAAATAACCTGCTGTGAAACTCTTGGCATTTGGAAAAGCAATAGCTGGGGAGGTGGAATGAAAAAGTCCACTCACCTGGACTGCATTTCTGGTTGTGCTTTTAACTGAAGCTGTGCTGTTTGCTGAGGATGTTGGCACTGAATCTGAGGCGAAGCTGGCACCAGTGGTTGTAACTGCTGGTCAGGTAGTCCCACCTGGCTGGGGGACGGTGAGCTTGCTTGCTGGGATGAGGTGGGTTGTTGCTGGGATGGAGTGTGCTCTGAATGTTGCTTTGGGGACTGCTGTTGCTGCTGCTTATAACGTGATAGGCTAAAGAAAAGGCCCAAGATGGCCTTTAAATTCCCATTTCTGATCTCTGAAAGGCAATTTAAATTTAAAGTATTTATATCATGAAATTGCATGATGACCCAGTTGAACAAATGTTTTATTAAATTTCAACTTTCTTTGTTCAGCTCAGGCTCCTTGAAGACCCAATTGATCAAAATAAAATTAGAGAATCCTTGCAGAAATAAAAGAATAATCCAAAGAATGTATTTTTTTTTCCTTTTTAGATAGAGGGAGATATAAATTGCTTCTCATGGCCATGGTCCTACAGATAACTTCAGTTTAGGATCAGGGCAAATAATTGTATATTCAATGAAAAAGTTTAAGGAAAGATATGACAAAATATTCTGGTAAGAAAAAAGTACCACTCAAATTCTTGTCCATTTGCTTTTGTTTCCTTTGACACTTTGGTTTAGATCATTTTTTATTCCTAACTTACAGAATATTCTGGAGAACAAATGCTCTGGCCTCCTGAAACTACATCTAGGATAATTGCAGAATTTAGATCCCCACATGTACAGAAGCCAAATAATACGAGTATCAAGACATTGTCTCTCATCTTTGCACATATTATATTTATTTCATGCAAACATGGAACTGGCAATTGGCAAGCCTTGGTGCGTCTCGGCAGCAGAAGTAGGTCAGCCAGTGTGACCTTTTCATGCATACTTTCAACATGTTAGAGGGGTCACGTAAACCTCCAATAGTCTGGGACTTGACTGTACAGGAAAATACCATTAAGAACAAATGCAATTAAAAGCCTCAGTAACTTGATTCTTCAGAGGGTATTAGCAATAAACCTGATACCCCAAAATGGGAAAATTAAACCATCATTGGACTTTGTTATGTGCTGGTTCCAGTGCTTCCAAAATAAGGCATAAACAGTGCTTCTAATGAACTCTATAAATGTATTTCTGCTTATCTCAGGAGATAGACTGAGGTAATTCACCTGGCATCTTGCAATTGGACTTTGTACACAGAGGGCTCATCAGGCTTGGTCTGAATTACTTCCTCTTACTACCTCCTTCTCCCTTTTAGGGCTGTTTAAGTACACAGACTCCAAGTTTCAATCCTGTGAATGTATAACTAGTCATTTCCATTCCAACCACAAAAAAGGGTTTTTTAAGCCGAAAACAAAATACTGCCAGATGTCATAGTTTTTAAGGCACAGAGAGTTTCCCTTTGGTCTGAAGTTTGGAAATTTCCATGCTGTGAAGTTCCTTTGGTTGCTTCAATTTCCTTTGCCCTGTTATTACATTTTAATATTTGTTTTTCCTTGAGATGTGAAATCATTCAGCTCTCTAGTGAAACAAAAGGAAGACAACATAGAAAACCGAAAAGAAGGAGGTTGGAACAACTTGTATGTAGAAACTGTGCAGGCTTTGTTCAAAAATCTCTGCAAGTAGTACATTTGTGCCATTTTACATTTAACCCCAAACAGACTTTTTTTTCTACAAGCCAATCAACTGTGAGTCATTAGATTCTGAGAATAATACAGAGAAGTATTAATCAGGCTTTACTGGAAGTACTTGATCATTCTGAAAAAGGATGAACCTCATAACCTATTCAGAGAAACACAGAAACCCATATCTGATCATTCTAGGCTACCTTGAATGTAAATTTGAGAATTGAACGCTATCTGCCATGTCTGCTCGCTTACTATTTCTCCTTCGTGCATAAATAGAATCAACTGAAGAATGGAAGACAGCTAAAAAATAGTATAATTATCTCATTGGTAAATGAAGCTGGGATTTCTCCAGTAATCAAAGAGTTAATACTCAGAGCCAAGGAATTCAGGCTACTAACTGGGTACCACAACTGAAAAAAGAAAATCTGTCAGCTGGGAGGACTTTTCTGGGTTGTGAATCTTCTTCTTAAGCGTTCTGGCAGCTGCCACATACAAACATACTCTCAAATTCACTGGGGCTCAAGGGGCTGTGTGAACTCAATGGTAGGGCGGCTGCTTTTATTGTCAAGGTAACTGTGCTACGTAGTCTGGAAAGAAAAACTGCATGGTTTGGGGAAAGATCCACAGCTCATGCAACCTGTCTCACAAATAAATAACCAAGAAAAAATAGTCTCACCTTGAATTCCATTTGAGATTGGTGAGAGAGATGTGAGATAGAAGATACAGTGGCAGATATAACTGTCATGTATTTGAAATGTTTTCCTTTAAACGGATTTCTGCTTACAAATAAATGGCAAGTGAAAGCAAAAGTTCACCTTAGAACTGAGATAAAGAAGCAAATAATCTTTTGAGCACACAAAGCAATGTGGAAAAATAAAAGTAGGGATGCTCACAATGTGATAAAAGCCAGAAAATTTTAGATAGTGTACTTCTTTAAGCAGGACCAACCAAGCAAAGCAAAGCAAACCAAAGCATAAATTACATTACCTGTGAAATAAAATGCATTTTGACCTAGATTATACATGCTAGTGTAAACAGCCATTAATTTTGTCAAGGCAAAATGGCATTGTATTCAGAAAAATAAAATTAGCCTCCTGCTTATACCTATTATTAAAACTGTCAGATATAGACCTATATTGGATCCCAACAGATGTAAAAATATTTTTTTATATGAAGGGAGGAGAAAATGAAGCAGTAACTCTCCTTGGTATGAATAAAATGAAGAAAACAATGAAAGGACAGAAGTAGAATGGACATGGAAGAGAGTGAACTTATTCTAATTAATGTGCATTCCAATAGGTTCAGAAACCTATTTATTAATATCCAGCAGTCTTATCCAGAAAGAAAGAATGGATGGGCCATAGCTCAGGGATATAGCACAAATTAGTTGTGTAAATATTCCTGTTTAATTTTAGTATCCCAGGTGGGGCTGGGAGACACTGTGTTGTGAAGTCTTAGACTACTCAGAGAGTTATCCTTGGTCACCACAGAAGATAATACTGAGCTGAATGGATCAAGATTTCACGTGAGGCAATTGTTTTTATGAATGACTTCAGTTTCTCTACTGCAAAAAGTCAACCAGTTATCTTGTCTGAGTAAAAATTAAGGTAATTCAACCATTGCTTAACATATTTCTGTTGCTTTTTTCTACAAATAGTTCTTACATGGCTTTCTAGTCATTTTTTTCTTATGCAATAATTTCCTTTTTGGCCTTTCATTGTGAAATATTCCATCTAAGAATTTTTCACTGTCACCATCTCAAAATCATCAGCCTCTTCCATTGCCCTGATCATGTGACCATTCTCTCTAAATATTTATATCTCAAGATCCATAATAAATTTCTTGCATTTACCTTCAAAGCATTTTAGAGTTTTTATTATCACACTGAAATTGAATTTGAGAGGTATGCCTGTTCAAAATCTTTCTCTAATCCAGACTCTAACCTAAGGTTAGAAGAAATGACCTGAATCCAGTGTTCCCATGTTTATTTAAATCTTCATTGTGCTTTCTTCCTTCTTTTCCCTGTAATGAATGTTGAAATTTAAATCCCTTAGGGCATGAACAGCTCTCTATTAATATATAACAACTGATATTGAAGGTAATTAATAATTATTATGACTTACAATACATTATTATCATTCCTATGACTTGCTAGTGTTAATCAGTCTAGGCTAGATTTCCTTCTATTTCATTCATTTTATTCCTGTTGAAAGTCACAGCATATTTTTGAGTCCGAAATAAAAATTGACAGATAGAAAATTTTCCCTAGAATAATAAAATTCAATTTGAAAGTAGCCTTACCTTCTGCAGATAGTCCCTGTATGTTTATTCCTTTGGCAGCCAGAAAACTCAGGCACACGTCTATGTTTTCAATCTTCAAAGATGAGGGATAAAGGAGAAAATAATTTTTTTTTAAGTGCTGAAATTAACTTGTGCTTTTGTTCAATATTATACAACAAACTCAAGTGATGGCGCTCCCACAACTTCAAAGGGCAAGCTGTTCCATTGGTTGATTGTTCTCACTGTCAGAAAGTTTCTCCTTATTTCCAGGTTAAATTTCTCCTTGTTCAGTTTCCATCCATTATTCCTTGTCTGGCTTACAGGCGCTTTAGAAAATAGCTTGATCCCTTCTTCCCTGTGGCAGCCCCTCAAATATTGGAAGACCGCTATTATGTCTTCCCTGGTCTACTCTTTACTAGACTAGCTAAGCCCAGTTCCTGCAACCGTTTGTTGTATGTTTTAGCCTCCGGTCCCCTAATCATCCTAGTTGCTCTTCTCTGTACTTTTTCTAGAGTCTCAACAGCTTTTTTATAATGTGGTGAACAAAACTGATGCAGTACTCTAGGTGTGGTCTTACTATGGCTTTATAGAGTGGTATTAGCACCCCTTGATCTTGACTGTATCCCTCTGTTAATGCAACTTAGGACTGCATTAGCTTTTTTGGCTGCTGCTGCACACTGCTGGCTCATATTTAGCTGGTTGTCCACTAAGATTCCAAGATCCCTCTCACAGTTATTGCTATTGAGCCTGGTTTCATTCAGTCTATATGTGTACTTTTGTTTTTTCTTGCCTAAGTGTAGGACTTTACTTTTCTCTGTATTGAATTTTATTTTACTAGATAAACTTGGATAAAATTAGATAAAACTAACTGGCTATGAAATGTTCATGTTGAGAACATAATTCTATTTGCATAATGGGTTCCTTAACTCATTTATTCCTTCCCTTGTATTTACCAAAATTGATCTTGGAAGATTCAACCAATCCTTTGACTAGAAATGGGGAGAACAAGGACAACAGTACATAGTTCATTGCTTACATTTTTATGGATTGACATTTTTGGCTTATGTTACTTATACTGGAATAAAATCCATGTGTAAAACTTCTTGTGAATTGAATTATCTTTACCATTATAGCTAAGGTTTTAATTTTTTGATAATTTTCATGATATGAGAAGAATTGCTTAGCATGCAAAATACTTCTCCATAAATGTTCCTAGCAATGCCCTAGCAACAATACAAGGCAGAAGCACAATTTTTCAGTATTCCATATTATCTTTCTCGAAATTAAACAGTAACCTTATAATGATTTGATATAGAAATACTATTATTTATCTGAAATAAAACAGCAAGTAAAGATTTCTAAAAGTCATAGTAGAAAAATATAAACCTGAACCAGAATCTAGAGCACGTTAGCCATATAATTAAACAATAATTTATTCCTCAATTGTTTTTTAAAATGCAAATTATTATTTCTCAATTTGGTTCTTCTCTAAGATGAACAGACTCAAATGGATTATACAAAACTTTTGAATTTCCTTCATGAAAACAGCAATCGTTTTCTACCTACCACCAAACGATTGGTTGATTGTTTCTACCTACTCCTCCCAGTGAACTGTGAAACTCTTTTCCCATTTACTATTTTGTTTTAGAAAGGAATAACACTTCTAATACCAGGTTCATTAAAATTATTCACATTGTATGACATAATTATAGCATAAAAATAATGACCAAAAGAATGAAATAGAATTTACTCAACACACCATCCAAACATAGCCAGAACAATAGTAACGCTTTGCTTCTACCACCATTTAAATAAGTGAGACTCTGACTGGTGAGAACAAGTAATGATAGGCTACAATAATATAATCCAGTTTACAGTGAAACTCATTCACTAGAATTAGTTGTTTATCTTCCATAATATGATCAGAATCAAAGTTTCTTAAAAATCTGGAACTAAAAATCTGTTACCTTACTGAGAATGTTTTTTTTAAATGGGAAGATTGGAAAACATTAATTTTAGAGATATGTAACAAATGGAAAATATTTTTTGTTTCAAACCTGAAACTCCCACCATATATCGGAAGCTTTGCCCAACTATTTTTGTTCAACCATGATTAGGCAGAAAGAAAAGTTTGGTTCTTTTGGGTTTCAGCCAAAACCAAATATAGAGGGATCCTAGAGCAGCCGTCTCCAACCATTCTGGCTTTACAGACTGGTGTGGGGAAGAGTGGATGGATACACACGAGCAGCAAGTAACGTGTGTGCACAGCTCTATTTGCACAAATGGAGCTGTGCACACGCTCACCCACCACTTCCATAGCCCGTTTCTGAATGGGCTGCAGCCTGGTAGTAGGCTATAGCCCAGGGGTTGGGGACTCCTGTACTAGAGTGATTCGTACAGCATGAGCAGGGCAAGGCTACTATGCTTCATCCCTCTCTTGCTCTACATGGCTTGTTAACTGGTTTGTCCACCTACCATCTTCTCAGCTACAATCTGCTCCCACCTGCCATCTGTTCTCCCACCCAGCCACTGTCACCAATGTCATAATTCATTATATTTTACAGACCATCCTCCCCGCACATTCTCCTGGTATACCTTCAGTGATTGCTGCCACTAGCAATATCTATACATGCTATTGCTTAGGAAACTCTTCAGTCATTGCTTTTCCTCAGCCTTCCCTCCCCAAACTTTCTCTACAGAGAACAATTATACTTTAGTCTACACGGGGAAGAATCCTGTTTTATTCCATGTATAAACACACACGGTGCATATTTCAGTTCAGACTACCCCACCAACTGTTTCACACAAGAGCACTTCATACACATAATGTTTTGTGTCCCCTTTGAATACATAGGATTATTCCATAAGTCACATTACTGCCTGGTTAAAGACAGAAGAGAGAGGTTCATTTACACTGACTGCCAGGATCTATTTCCAATAGAAAACTATTTGTAGTGGTTCACCGGCAGCGGAATCGAACAGTGGTGAAGAACGGGAACCAATCAGGGAGTCTGGCGAGGACTTGGATGAGGGTCCTGCATCCAATGCAGAGATGGGGCCAGGACCATCTGGGAGTAGGGTGCTGCCTTTGGAGCCTTCGGAGTCTGGCAGCAGCAAGGCAGAGGACCCAGGGGAGCCTGTTCCCAATGCGCAGAGCTGCTAGAAGGCGAGAGCAGCTGAAACAAAAGGGGTGACTTGGGAGTAAGGCTGGGAGGTGATTGCCCCTCCCATAAGGGATAAAAGTCAGGCCAAAATGACAAAACCTTTGCAGGAAGTAAAGTAGTTCAATCGGTTCTGAGTCATCCTTGAAGCTCTTTGGTTTTTCTTGTACTTCTATTGGTTTCTTTTCTAGTTAATTTGATACTTTTGGAAGCAATTCACAGAACTGAAAGGTGTGTGCTTATCTTGGAGAACTGTTTGGGATTAATTCCAGCTGGGAATGAAAACATTTATTGCATTGCAATAAAATAGGTTTTGTTTTTAAAACAAGTTTGTGAATAATTACGGTTTATGAAGCCTGGGTCAGAACACTATTGTGCTTAGTGACTATATGCACAGAATCAGAACTGGATCAATCATTTAGCTCAGCGGCCCCCAACCTTTTGGACACCAGGGACTGGTTCTATGGATAGACGTCTTTCAGTGTACCGGAAGGATCGTGGTTTCGTATGCTACCTGCATCCCACATATGGCGGTTCATTTGTTTGTGTGTCCCAGTTGCTGGCATGCTGTTGACCGGTTCAGGTCCCCGGATATGGGGTTTGGGACCCCCGATTTAGCTGAAACCCCAAAGAATCAAACCAGATAACCACAACCCAAAATAAAATATCTCCAACAAATGGCTACCCAGTTTCTTCCTAAACTCCATGGACAAGCTTCTCTTATTCTTGTGAAGTTTTTTCAAATATTCAATCAGAATCTTCTTTTGTGTAGCTAGTTATTTCATACTTGATACTCTGAAATGACAGGAACAGGTCTTTTCTCTCCTCTGCATAGCACCTCGCTATGTACTTTAAAAGTGTTACCAATACACTCACTTTTTCTCAATACTATTTATAGACAGTTTCCTCAGTCTTCTGATCTTTTTGACTACCTTCTTTGAAAATAGAGTCACAGTTGAAGTGGGATTTTATCAGTATAAAATACAAAGGAACTATTATTATTTCTGATGATTTCAAAATTATACTTCAATGTAGCATAAAACTACATTTCACTTTTTACTACATTTTCACTACATTTCACTTTTTACAAGCCATATCACACCATTTATGCATTCACAGCTTGTACTCAACAATTCGTAGAACTACTTGATATGTGTTATTACCTAACCAGACAATCTCCATTCTTCTCTTTTGCATTGAATTTCTATTTTCATGCTGATTTCTAATTATCATGGTATTTTTTTCAAGGTAGCACTAACAGAAGGATAGGCCCGTACTTTTCTGAGCTCTTTTTTTCCCTTTCTTTTTGCAGAGAGAAACATTTGCCCTCTTTCATTCATTCTGGGGTTTTAGTCCTTCAACCCACACAGGATTCCATTGAGAGCCCTCTTTATCATGGTTGACATGTTTTGGCCCCAAGCTTTCTAGACTGAAATAGTGCCGTTTTTATTTTTACCTAGTTCTGCTGCAAGTGCAACCTAAAAATGATATATTATTGAATACTGAATTATATTACTGTTATTCTTCAAAACTATAATTCTCCACTGTTTTTTCATACAGTGAAGCATCTTAACAGATATTAACACAATGTTTTAATGCATTTTAAAAATGCCCTATAAATAATCTGAAATGACAGAGTGTCCATCTACACATGGGGAGAGATTTCAATTGGTCACCTATAGTTTCAGATTTTATGTAAAAAAAAAAGTAACAAAGATCATCATTCAATATATATTTTGTTACTGGTGAAAATTACTGTATATGTCTTAAAAATTGTTTAATCTGCTTTATTAGTTTATAATATAACCTTATAATAGCAGCCTATAGTGATCTGAATTGGGAAAAGCAAAATAAATAAAAACTTTCAAGTGTAGCTACTACATCTGGCATCTCACTAAAAATATTAAGTTTGGTTCAGGTCAAGCCAAAATAT